CTAGAGGGCTTTCAAGTTATTTATGAGATGCAGAATTTTAAAAATACAGAAGTTACAAATGAAAAGGGCTGTGTTTTGTTGGAGGTGCACAGTGTACTGTGTTTCCAAAGGCTTCTAAACTTTGATTCCTTTAATAAAGTTGCAGTTTTATTTCCATTGTTGTAAGCAAGTTTCTGTCTGAAAATTCACAACAGATTATTTTCCAAACAAAGCATGTGATTTGTTACAGAAAATAAAATATGTAGCTATAGCTTGTGCTATTGTTGTGTCTGTTTCTGTGGCTCTGGATGTTACAGCTGTAGAATAGTCTGCTTTGCCTCTGAGAACAGGTTGATGCACTAGGAGTTGCACCTTGAATGGAAGAGGGCAGGACTCTCAAGTTGTGAAATCCCCCAGGTAATCAGGCTGTATTCTGAGCATTTTTAAACTTCGATGGAGGTGATAAATGCTGCAGTTCTACCTTTTTATTTGTTTTCCTATTCTGAAAGCTAAAGGAGGAGGGTAGAGGAACTGACACTTCTTGCAGTAAATCAAAGCATTATAATATAAACATACATAGTTTATAAAATACATAACACTGGTAAATTACATCTCAAATTCAGCCTGCAAATGGGAAAAAAGTTGGCCCTCTTATTTCAACTTAAAAAAAAAAAAAATTCAAATACTAGGCTGTATTCCTGGAAATGGAGAGTCACTGTAGAAATCAAACAGTATTGGAACCTTAACATTGTACTTGTACTGAGAGCCTGAAAGATCTGGCAGGCCACTGAAACTAATGTGGGTTAAGCTAGGTAAATAAAGGTGGTATGAACAGCTGAGATGATTTAGACTAGGTGAATAGTCTGAATGGCAGCTTTGTGATGCTTTGTGCTTGCTACTTTCTCTGTAGCCTTTGTGCTATCCTGATGCTATTCTGAAGACCTTGAGAAGGAGGAGATTTTTTTTTTCTGTTTTACAAGTTAATTTCATCACTGTGTGCACTGCTTGTGATCTCTGTGTCCCTCTTATTTTTGAGGCAAAATAAAAAAAGTAATTGGATTTATAGGCTAGTTGGGGCTTGAAACTGGACAGCATGAACAGGGTTATCTTAGGAATAATTTTGTTTGTTTTCACTGGGCTTAACAGTCTATACAATTTCTGATCTGCTTTTTTTAGCTTGGTGCAGCTGTTCACTCTGAAATTTTTCATCCTAACATTAATTAGCAAGACCAGCATCTTCCAGTTTTCACTAATGCAACAACTGTTACAGTACTATCACAAATTTCACCCACAGGGTGAAACCATAAACAGTTGGAGCTGGGGGGAACTTGCCAAGGTAACAGACCTAACGATTTTTTTGGCTTCACTCTTTTCCTCCTCTCCTTTACAATTCGTACAATTTAATTTTTCTGCCAGATAAGCAGAAAAGATAGATATTATTATTTAAGCAGAATCTGAAAACTCCTGGAAGAAAAAGGAGTTTTTCAGATTTGAATCTTTTTCAGAATTTCTAATGATTGTCCATTGCATTGCAATATGTAAACATTGGCTTCATTCTCAGGATATATTGGTTTAAAAATAAATACTAACTTTTACTGCTTGGATATTTCAGATATGGGGCCATACAGGTATGTTTGATCTTAGATGGCTACATGACTTCTGCTATAAAGGAGGGAGTCCATTCCCCAGACCAGTGTCTGGGATGTTACTGAAAAAAAAAACTAGGAAAAGAGAAAAGAAAAATAAATGCCTGAAATGTATGTGGCCACTCAGTTATAATAAAATACATATACATTACCTCTGTTTTTATTTGAGGTCTATGTAACTGTCCAGACACTCGTGTACAAAGAGCATTCACTGACATTAAAAGATACAAGGTTTTTGGAGAGGAGGTTAACTTGTGATCACTTTTGAGGAAGCTGTAGGATGTTTCATCTTTTCTTTTCTTACTCTGTCCACTACACCAAATTATGCTTCCTTTCACTTGTTTACATCTGCTTATTGGCACACTGCCTAGCAATGCTTGCAGGTTCTTAAACTCCTTGGTGCATTGTTTGGTCATCTCAGAATGAAGGCAGTTACATCATGAAAAATACAGTCAGCATTATTTTAAGGCTCTGTAAAGAAGCTAAATTGTAATAAATTTAAAAGTTCTAACAATTTAGGTCACGCTTTTCACCTGATGTTAACAATTCAGCTGCCTTCTAAGTGTCCTGAAAATAGGGCAACATGAAAAAGCTCTGAGATTCTTTCTTCAGTTCTATTCCTAGGGACACCCAGAAGTATGTGGATATTTTAAACTTGATTTCCTGTGGAAACAAGATGTATGTACGCAATTTTATGTGTGTTGGAGGTTGTTTTGTGTGTCCTGAGCCTCTTCCTTCTGCAAATAATCTAATAAATAATCCTACCGTTGAAATTCTTCTGGAAAGGGAAGCGGAAAGCTCTTGTCAGTTTTGGTTGACCTAAACTTGTCAACTAAATTTGACAGCGGTCCAGAGTACCAGCGAGTTTCATGGAAAAATAAACAAGATGAGATGATACCTGATTGGGCAAACCAGTGCTGATGTACGTGTCGTATTAGATGACAGAGAATCCAGATGGGAGGGAGACTTTATAAACACATCCGTTTGTAATCTTCAGCGAGAGAAGTTTGTTCAGTGCCTAAGAAGGTGTGAGCTCCAGTCCCGATCATCTCAATGACGTAGGGGAGTTGGCATTGTTAGTGCCTACCCTCCCGCAGCTCCAAGAATACTGTGAATGGTTTTGGGGCTCTTGGGGGAGGGGAGCGAATCGCAAGAGAACAAGTTCTTCTAGAGCAGTTTTTCCCTAATGAGTATGTGTTGGTGGATTTCTTCCACTGTGGAGTATTTTGGTTTACAAGTTTTTCTCCTTCCCACCTTACTAAATGTTTCCCTCCTCTGTCCCTTCCCCCCTGCCCCCAGCCTTACTTTGTGGTGAGCCTGCCGGTTGTCAGATACATGCAGAGATCCAACACTTTAGTTACAGTAGTTTCCTGCTATTGTAATTAATAAATAGTTGTAGCTTAGCCTGGAAGTGAATCCAAGACCTGTCTTTGCACTGTTAAACCTCGGGAGAACTAAGACAGTAACTCTTGCTAAGCATGATGTAAAGCATGGGAGAAGGCACCTTGTACCATTTCAGTAGCTGCAAAGCAGGGAGAAAATACGTGAAGTAGTTCTTGCTTTGCAAAAGATTATGAACATGGAATAGCAACTGGTTGTCACAGCGAAGGTCTTGAAAGATGTTTAATATAACCCCAGTGACAGGTGTGTGGTCTGTTTCTCAAAAGATTAGAAACTGAAATAATTGTATTCTAAATGCCTCTAGGAATGACATAAACTGGCATAGATAGTAAAATTTATCTTCTTCATAGTGCATTTTCACATGAGTGAAGTGTTCTTAAATAATTTATCTGTCTGTGCTGGGAACAAACATGCTTTTCTTCCATGTCAGGCATGGGTGTTTTCTTCAGCTAATATCTTACTGAAAGAAAATTCCCATGTTGCATTCTTGTTTGGCTTTTACTGAGTAGGTATGATCATATTTTAGGAAGTTTTAGGACTAGTAGAGCATACCATACTGATAGTCCTTGAGGGTGTGTGGAGAACAATTTGAGGGGTTTTGGTGGTTTTACCCAGGGATCAGTTTAATAAACAGTCTTCCTCCTACTAGTGATTAAAATGACATTTATTTTCCTACAAAAGCTGTTTTAATAAAAGTTCCCGATACCTGTATTCATGTCCTGATAGATTTACAAGCATGGATCAGTATTAATTAATATTAAATGTGTGAATATAGGTAAGCTAGATAAACTACACTCAGTTTTAAAAGCTGTCAAAACTGAGTTGTTGCCTTTAAGTAGGAGTTTGTGTAGGATGATGCTAATACACATCCAAGTAAAGAAGTTATTGAGACATTGTTTGAATAAGGCTACAGTGAAGAATGTGACTAGCTGCAGTAGGAAAATACTGGTGTGTGATGTTAGAAGAGAGTTTTCTGAGGAAACATTGTTTTGTTCTCAGAAAATCCAGGTTTCTATTTGTTGTCCTTTTTTTTTGTCTCAGGTGCAATTAATAGTCTGCTTCTCTGATGAAGAGGAAAATACTGTTTTGAAGCCTTTTAAGAAAAAGTTATGTAGTAATCTGATGCGTAGTTTTCAGATTACTAGAAAACTAAATTCAGTGAATGAGGCCTGGGGGTATTTTTGTTTAAATCCATTTTTAGTTATGTACAAGATGCTATTTTTACAGATTAAAGACAAATGGCGTTTTTTTCTTCTGGTGTGGCTGAGAAATTAAATTGAATAATAGCTTTACTGATGTAGCTTAAAACAGATGTGGAGGATGGGAGGGAGAGCTGATCCCAAAGAGGTATCAAATAATAACTGATTATGTAATATTTTCCTCATATGTTTCATCAAACCATTTTAAATATGAAATAGCTCACTTGAACAAGACTACTTGCAGACATTATGCTGATAGTAACTGCCATTATGGAAAACAGCAAAATTGGTTTATTTGTTATCGACGACTATTCAATGTGCAGTCCTCCAAACCATCACTCCTATTGCTTGTATTTTTGGCTTTGGTGGAATTAAAATATAGGCTATCCCATATTTTAAGTAAGTGGAGATTGTAAGGTTTAATATTTAAAGTCCTCATGGAAGAGAGCATGCAATTGCACAACACTCCACAGCATGTGTGTCTACAGCGCTCTCTAAATGTTTTCTTATAGGGCTGCTGGTGCCACAGTAGTGAAATACTTAGGGCAAAGCAAGATTAGACTGCACTGATTTTATCCTGTCTTAATACTGCTAGTTTCTAAGTATATTAAATGGCCCATTAGTAACTAAGTTATTTGAGATGATTCTTGAACAGCATTACTCGTAGCTGGATTCTTGCTTGATCTGAAGAGTAGTACAAAAAGGAAATCTAAAGCTATTCTGTGAGATGTAAACTTGTGGCGCTATAGTGATAACAAATTTGTCTTTTAATAGGTTCTGGAAAACATTAACAACACCAATGAATGGCTTGATCTTCACTCTTAGCTCCAGATGACTTGTGGTGGTGTTCGTAAGGGTATGTATACTTCAGTTGTGAAAGCGTTGGCAAAACCTAGAATGATTTTGAAACACGTCCTTGTAGCTTTTTGTTGTATTCAATTTGACACCCACATGGAGAGTGTCTGACCCAAGTGACCTCTAACTTAGTGGTTTATTCCTGATCTAGTCTTGCTTTACAGCCATGATAAGATGCAATGTCAACTATCTCCTTGCTCCTTTGAGGAGATACGGTACGCTAACGCAGCTGAAGGTCTTGGACATCTGAGATGTGCCGTGGAGTAACTGGCTCACAAGCCTCATAGTTTTGCCCCTCATTTTACCTTTCAAGATCATCTCATGCAGTCTGCTGAGGAGCAAGATTTCACTGCAATGTCTTCCTACAGGGCTGTGTACTGATGTGGGGAAAGAGAAATAGAGGGTCGTGTAGAATCAGAAGTCATATGCTGCACGTATGCCGGGGCAAGGCTGTCCTTTTAGTCTGCCTGAAAAGTCCTTCCCAAATGGATACTTTTGAATACTGATTTCATACAGCAGACATGTAAGGCGCTTGCATCATAGTGATTCGGAAGAGAGAACAATTTTCCTCTCTTACGTATTTGATTTTTGAAGAGGGATTTGCAGAAATGCTGTCTTAGAAAATCAGAATTTCAAAGACTGCATGAGTGTGATTTTATTGAGAAATAAATTGAGCAAATTGTGAAGCAAAAGGAAAATGTGTGTTTGCTTTGAAAGAGGATTGTGTTGTTGACATAATATAAAAGAGAAAAAGAACACAGCAAATAAAATTTCACTGAGTTCCCATAAATGTTGCATCTAGTCAGATTACCAAACCTTATTTTATATTACAGTGTGGTTAGGAAATCCTGGTTTTGTTTTCCACTACACAGCATCTAATTAATAGACATTGCCCTTCCTTAAAGAATTTACAGGTCAAGTAATTTAGAAACTAATAAAAGTTCATTAAAAGGTGACTTAAACTACATCTGCCACTGTTGATACATGAAAGCAGATGAAGTAACCGTAGAGAAAAGGTGATGAAAAATGATAGCGTGACCTGTAACTTTTAATGTTACTGCCAGTCCTTTGTTAGTTAATACTTCCTTAATTATCCAGAAAACTAGATTGCCATCACAGTAATAGAATTCACTACCTTTTGGTGAAGAGATGGTGAAACTGGTAGGTGTAGATGCTTCTGGATGTGTTCAGAGCCTGCACACAGCTACGATTTTGTGTTGCTGCTGCTGACATCACCTACCTGACTAAGTCTGGGACTCCTGGGCTTAGAGTTGAGCTGGTTTAGAGACGTGCGCAAAGGTAGTAAAACAAGAATTAATCAGGAACAAATGGGGCAAGGAATAAAGATGATAAATTTGTATGCTTAAAAGCATGTTGGTTATTCAAAGAGAGAAACACGTGACAGTCATTCTAGAACGTGAGCAAATTAGCAGTGAGTTCAGTAATTCAAATGAAGAGTGAATTTTGGATGCGGTAGGAAAATAGGATGTAAAATGCATTTTGAACTGCCTCTGTAAGGAGAGAAAAAGGTAATTTTAAACAAAATATTTGCCTTCTGCCCATCTGGACATTGTTTTAATCAAGTGACCCAAAAAAGAGGAAAGCTTAAGGTAATGTTAGTGGAGAAAAGTGCTCATGAAGTGTCACTAATCTTGGTGACTTGCTGTTCTCTAAAAAGTTTGAATTTAGCAAAAAACGGATAACAAGCTGTATAATGTTTTCTGAACACTTACTGTTCTAGAGCAACTACTTTGTTTATAACTTAAGCTTCTGTTGTTAGATGTCGTCTGTTACTGAAAATGGAGATGTTACTGCTGGAAAGCCAAATGAAGAGAAAACATATAAAAAGGTAAATAGGACTTGTAAAATTTTCATTGCATGTTTTTTCCTTCATATTGGTAATTCAAACCTACTGTAAGTGAAATGTATTTCAGAACTGACTAAATACAAGAACAAACAAAACATGTTCCATGGATTTTTTGAAAGTACTTTATTCCTTCGTTGAAATCATAAGACATTTCTACCCACTGTGTAGCTGACTATTTGAAAGCTTGTTCACTACAGCTTTAAAGCAAACAGGCTTGCTAGATGGTTGGAAATTCTTTGCTCTTAGCAACAAATACACCTCTGGGCATAAACACCATTGTCAGAAATTTAGTACAGTAAGTTCCCAAATGTTTTGAATGTTGAAGTGATGTGTCTGGACTACAAACCTACCCTACCACCTCCTCAGTACTTTGCCAAACAGTACATTTTTTGTTTGCTTTAAAAAAAAAAAAAAATAAATACATTGTTTAAGAGAGGACATATTTAATATGGGAGCATGTTTCAATGGTAGCAGCATTGGGCTATTTCGATGATGTAACAGTAGCTGATACTGGTTTTGGTTTTGTTTTTCTGTAACTGATTGTCTGGGACCAGCATTATTTAGGTCAACCTAGAGCTATTGATAAGTGAGGTAAGGAGCTGTAAGTGCACATTTTCTGTACATATTTACACAACCAAATTGTTAGCTACCAGCAATTTTCCTGAGAGATCATCTCAAAAAAGTTGTGACTTTTTTTCTGAATTTCTGTAATCTAGCATAGAAATCTACATACTCCTACAGTATATGTCATGGGCTAGGGTTTTTCGTTTCCAAAAAACTGCTACTGAAGTCAAGGAGAATAATAAGCTACTATTTCTTTTCCCACCCCTTTTGTTGGCAGCTACACTGTCAGTATCTGAGTGGCCTTAACATTCCAGATAATTTCCTGAGAAATGAAAGGAAATAATGTTTGAGAAAATGCTGTTTTTCTTTTTAGATATAGATTATGTTCAACCTCCCAGTTTATGACTTTAAAGTAATGAAGTTGGAATTGTTCTTGACATTTAGTACAAGACAGGAAGAAAAGTTCAGTGCCTGAGGTGGGCCCTTTCGCAGATTTGTGTTGCTAAGCTAGACAAGACAAATCCTAGCAGGCCCACCACAAGTGAGTTTCCATTCCCCCCAGACATCCTACATGCCCTTCTGTGTTCCTGCTCAGCTATAAATTTACAGTATTCCAGAGGAAGTCTTGTGAAGACTTTTCACCATGGCACAAATTCTTCTGTGCGTTTACTGGAAGTACACCTCTGACAAAGCCTAGGATTCACAACCACACAGTGACTATCACCTGTAAGTCCTGCCCTTTACTGTGAACCACCAGTTGTCTGTACTTGTATCTTAGGCCAGTTTAATTCCTTTTCTTGTACATACACCCTCAGTTGTTCTGTGTTCAAGATCCTGTGTTGCATATTCCCCATAGGTATGTGTTATCACCAAATATTGTCATTATGCTCTTGCTTTTTACGATGATGTTAATAACAAAATTTAATAAATTTTGACTCTACAATTTATCCTTTCAGGGCTGGTAGCATGTCTTTACCTGATGCTTTCACTTTTAACAATGTATCTCTCCTCTTAAGCCAAATGGTTTTCAAACCTTGGACTTTGTGTTAATTCTCACCTTCTCCAGGTAGTCTATGTAACATTGTTTCTTTTTCTTTTCTTTTTTTTTTTTTTTTGGCAGAATCAACTTCATATGTCTAGAAAGTTGGTTCAGGGTGAGCCTGGCAGGACCTGTGTTTCACAGAGGCATTTCATGCCATTTCCTGTTTAATTCCATATTTTTAGGTAATTTTCGCAAGGCAGTCTTGCTCTGTTGAAGTCTTATCTACATTTAAGACTCCCCTGTCTTTTATTGCCCACATCACTCTTCACTTTTTTATACAGGTATTGCATTTGCAGTTCTCCAGTCACGTGTTGTTGCACTTGGTTTGTTTGACTGGAGAATACTTGCAGTTCTGTCCTGTGACTTCCTGTGCCACTTCCTCCAGAAATCTGGGCTGGAAAAGAGCTTGTTTCCTCAGCTGGTGCTTTTTCAGCTGCTTGGGCAGTTCCCATTCACATCGACCACTGCCCTCAGTCGCAGGGGAGGTGCTTAGGTGAGATACTTACGTAGTTCTGAGGTCAGACTGTGCTTGCTAACCCATTCTCATTGCTCAGAGGCTTCACTTCAAACAAACTGAAAACATAGTAAAGGTGAAGAGGTTTGTGCTGTTCAGTGTAGAAAAGCAAAGGACAGTACCTTGACTTGAATTGTGGTAATTCTGGTTTTTACTTTGCTCTGCTTCGTCCTCTTATGTATAACAATTACAGCTATAATGAATCTGATTAATGTACAGCTGTATAACTGCTGGCAAGATGGGACTGAGTAAGTTTATGAAGGACTGTGTGGCATAGGTCCTGTGGTACTGGTGTGTGTCTTTGACTTGGAATATTCTTACCAGTGATGTGCTCCCCTGGGAAGGTCTGGTAGCCAAAGAAGTTGTCGTGAGATGTGGGTGTGGAGGGTTTCAATGGAGCAATAGCATAGCTGCAAGCAGGAGTAACTCGCACATAGTTCAGAAACACAGACATTATAAAAGTTTTGTAATGACAAGTTTCACCTGGGTAATTCACGGGGTTTCTAGTGATAATTCTGGGAGAAAATCATCCTGAAATTTGATGACAGTTTCGATCTCAACCCCACCCCTTGCAAAGCAGAGAGATTAGTGAAGGAAGAGTTAATGTCATCATGCCATCATCTCCTGTTGCGAGGCCCACAGGTTCCACATGAGGACTCGGTCATGAGCTGTGTGGTTTGGTCTTAACTTTAAAATATTCCTTGGACTCTTTATCTTCTCACAGAGCAAAATGTCAGTGTGTCTCTTTATCCTCTCCCAGCAATTGCATTCAGGACCTGCAGTCACTTTGTGGCAGAAAGTTTATGATACTCAGATGTGTGCTGGAATGTCTATAACGCCCGAAATAAAATGAAATCTCTAGGGATAAGGGATGCACTGATACTGCCCTGCTGAAAGGTTACATTTTGCTTGCAGGGGGTGCAAGACGAGGGAGAGCAATCCTCAGTCTGATCTAAAAAGCAAAATGGACTTTGTTTTTAAACAGTTTTGCATTATATCTTGTACCCATTCATCTTTCATAATAGCATGCAAAGACATCTGCTTTGTGGTGTAAAATCTAATGACTCATAAGAGAAAACTAAATAAGTGTTCTGGCTTTGGAGGTGTTTTCCCTGTGCCGGATCCAATGAGAAATAAGACTAACTACTCAAGATCTGTTAAACAATGTTTTAGTTGCTTGATCTGGAAGTGTAAATATCCTTTTGTTGTGGTTTAGCCCAGCTGGCAACTAAGCTACCAAGAGGTCCTCCCTCATTTCTCCCTCTCAATGAGTTGGGGAGGAGAAAAATGTAACAGAAGGTTGGAGGGTTGAGATAAGAACAGGGAGAGATCACCCACCAACCATGGCCCTGGGCAAAACAGACTCAGCTGGGGGACAAATCCATTTAATTTGTTAATGGTTCATCAGAGAGGATAACATAAACAAAAAAACACCTTCTCCCCACCCCTCCCTTCTTTCCCGCTCTACCTCCTCCCACAGTGTGCAGGGGGACAGGGAATGGAATGCTCCATCTGCACTGATCTCATGTCTGTGTGGCTGTTTCTCTCGGGTCTCAGTCCTCTCTCTGCTGCAGGCCTGACGAACCTTGGTGGCAGCAGCCCAGTGCAGGCAGCCACCTGCCCTGGAGGCTGTGGGACCAGCCCCTGCCTCCTCTCCCCTCAGTGTAGGTCCGGCCTTAGATGGACTCCTTTGTCCCCATGTTAAATATGGCATTCCCAGAGGCACTGATTGTCCTGGCCTTGGCCTGACGGGATGGGGGGTCCAGCCTGTCCAGAGGCCAGTTTTGGAGCCGGGGAAGCTTTTACAGCTACTTACAGGGGCCATTTCCACAGAGAAAATAATTGCTAATACTTGATTTTTTTAAATCAATCTGTTTTATGCAAGTGTGAAAAATTAGTATTTTTATCTTGGAGGTAAAGGTGTTTTTAATCTAGTGTAAATGAAACTGTTTGTCTTAGCCAATAGCATCTGTCCCATCAATACAGAGATGAATAATGGCTTACTAAAACTCGTTTCCATCAGAGAACAAATTATTTCATAGAATCATAGAATGGTTAGAGTTGGAAGGGACCTCAAAGATCATCTAGTTCCAACTCCCCTGCCATGGGCAGGGACGCCCTCCTCTACACCAGGTTGCCCAAAGCCTCATCCAACCTGGCCTTGAACACTTCCAGGGATTTCTAATGGCTGTTTGAAGAAAAACAGTTTTCTGCTGGGATACGTAGAAAGCCTTCACATTCTTTTCCGTGTGGTTCACTCTCCCTCACTTCTGAAGACTCTGACGTGGATAATGTATTTACTGCTTTGAGTAGCAGCTGAACTGGACTGACTAATGTGCAAAAGACATACAGCTTTTGCATACAGCAGTTGCATCTAGTGACATGGGACTCAGTTGCTGTAGCAGATGGGTAACAAGCAGGATCTAAAGACTCCTTAATCTGCTCCCTCATCTGTTGTTCCCTCTTCATTCTGCAATTCCATCTTTCGTGTGTTGTTCATACTGTCAGGGTGTGCGCTGCTCCGGGTGATGTTCTCATCTAGTGCACCTCATCTCCGAGGACTAGTTATAAGTTACTGTGATAAATTAGTTTGTAGCTTTATGCTAAGAAAAAGCATCTGAATTATTCACTGGTGAAAACAGGCAATCCTCAAGACGTACTTGTCCTTTCTGTGTGCATATGCATCAGTGTATTTTGGCCTGCTGTAATCCTTTAGCATAGTTTGGCCTTTGGAGAGTTCCCGAAGGGATTACTTGCCTGCTCATCCTGGGGGAAAAAGGAATCTTTTTTTAAAATGGAAAAGTTTATTTCTGACCTCTGGTATTTTTGCTGTGCAGTAGCAATATGTTCCGAACATGTCCT